ACAGTCTCCCTACCCCGCCCCTGGTGACCACCTTCTACTTTCTGTCTCTGTGAACTTGCTACTCTGAGTACCTCATATAAGTAGAATCATACAGGATCTGTCCTTTTGTGACTGGCTTATTTCACTTAACATAATGTCCTCCAGCTTCATCTATGTTGGAGCACGCGTCAGAAATTTCCTTCCTTTTTAAGGCTGAATAATATCCCCTTGTGCTGATATCCCATTTTGTCTATCCATTCATCCGTCAATGGACACTTGGGTTGCTTCCATCCTTTGGCTATTGCAAATACTGCTGCTATGAACACGGGTGTGCAAATATCTGTTTGAGGCCCTGCTTTTGATTTTTTGGGATAGATACCCAGAAATGGAATTGTTGGATGATATAGTAACTCTATTTTTTATTTTTTGAGGAATCACCGTATTGTTTTCCATAGCAGCTGCATCATTTTACATTCCCCACAGCAGTGCACAAGGGTTCCAATTTCTCCACATCCTCCCCAACACTTGTATTTCTGTTTTTTTGATAACAGCCACCCTAATAGGCATGAAGTGATATCTCATCACGATTTTGATTTGCATTTCCCTAATGATTAATGATGTAGCGTATCTTTTCATAGGCTCATTCATATATCTCCTTTGGAGAAATGTTCATTCAAGTCCTTTGCCCATTTTTGAATTGGGTTGTTTGGTTTTGTTGTTGAGTTTTAGGAGTTTTCTGTATATTTTGGATGTTAATTCCTTAGCAAATAAATGATTTGTAAATATTTTCTCCCATTCTGTGGGTTGCCTTTCAACTCTGCTGATAGTGTGCTTTGAGGCATGCTTCATTTTGATGAAGTCCAATTTTGTCTATTTTTTCTTTTGTTGCATGTGTCTTTGGTGTCACATCTAAGAAATCACTGCCAAATCCAATGTCGTGAATTTTTCCATTAGGAGCCCAGTTTCAGAAGCCATTTTATGAGGGTTATGGAGAACATCTCTAGATGGAACAAGAAGATAACTAAAACCCAGAGGAGGGGGCTGCTATTTTGACACAGAGCCCACATCTTAAGTAGTCCTATCGATCTGACTCTGATCACCTCTGATAAGAAAACAAGGGGACAGAGGAGGGAAGCTGCCTCTGATCAGCAGTAACAGGGAACATTAGGGGGAAAGTCTCCATTCCACACCGATATGTACAGTCTTTTCCTTTGTAAAACCAAGTTCCTTTACTTTGGCGCCAAATAAGATTGGCGCCAAACAGAGCGGGAGGGGACCCACGGGCTCCAGTTTGCTTAATTGAGTAACTCACTCCACATGGGTCTAATTATCCATGTGTGTTTCCTCACCAACACCCCCATCCCATCTCCATCCCAACGTGTTGAGTGAATGTTGTGCGCAGGGAAGACAGAAACCCTAACAAGCAGTTAGGGAAGGACCAAGATCAAAGCGCTGTGTAACAAACCAAGTCCAGTCCTGTCAAGATGACTTAATTTAGATTTCCAGTTTCTTCCAACTGCTGACCCTGGCTTCCCCTAAGCAAGAAAACAGCATAGTTTGAGCGGCCAAATCACTAACACCGGGATGGCCTCTCCCCATAAGCTCACTAATGTATGAATTTGCACATCTGTTCTACACACTCACCACCAAGGCTCTGTGGCACTCCTGTCTAGCTGAGAAGGTGTCTGGACGGGAAACTATAACAAGAATAAGAACAACTGGTCCAAGTCGTATTGTCCCTCCAAAGACTGACACTCATGCCATGAGAGCATCACCACCGTGAGCTTATTCAGTGTAGGAGAGCTGCAGAAGCAGGCCCGAGTTAGCCCGAGCAGAAGGGAAAACAAGGCCACGGTGCCTCTCCCCCCCTCCCTGCTCAGTCCTGATGGTCTGAGCTCCCTTGGTGGTTGTCATCTCGGGAGGAAACAGGGTAAGTAAGATCTGGAGGATTGTTACGGCTGGACAGGCTTGGGTTTGCATCTCTGCTTTAACATTTATTAGTTGTTGACTTTGGCCAAGTAATTTGCATCTCAGTTTCCTCATCCGTAAAGGGGAGTAATTAAGTCCGACTTCACACGTCACGAAGCTGGCAACGGGAAGCGCCCGGCACATCCTTACACTGAATCTTCAGGGCGTCTGTTCCCAGGGTTAGCTGTGTGTCTCTCATTCACTCCCCATGAAGTTCCTCAAGGTCAGGAACCACGTCTTATTTGTCTTTAAGCCCCCAGCACATAATAGATTCCCAATAAACATTTGCTGAACGGAGGGCCACAAGACTAATCTCCTTCCCTCCGCTCTGTGGATGATTCAGCTGTGAGTGTGAGGTGGAAAAGTCATAAAGAACTGTCCCTGCTGAGCCTTCGCAGAGGCAAACCAGCTTCCTCTCAGGAGACGCACATCAGGAGAACGGAGTTGCAAAGTCCCGTCAGATAAAGGAGGCCTCTAGGGAGCAGGGCCACCTCGAAAGTGTTTTGCATAACAATACACCCACAGACTTTAACTGAGCACTCTTCCCGCAATTCCTAATGGATTCATTAAACTGACAGCTCGGCACCAGCACAGAGGCCTGTTTTCTCTCTAACACAAGCCATATGAGTGCCTCATGTTTAATCCACTCTATAAATTTTTAAACAACTATGTAAAAATGGAAAACCAAGAAAAGATGCTGGGTTGAGTTACTGCACTAAAAATCAATAATAAGTGTCTCCTTTCCGTCCTCCTCCCGCTCTGATTGGGTACACCTGGGTTTTGGTGGTTCCCCTTTGCTCTGAGAGTGAACTGCAGCAGCTTCTTCTTGCCTGTTAGAGACGGCTGACCCCGGCGGACAACACCCAGCTGGCGAGAAGATGGTAAGGTGCTGCGGCAGAATGGAAATCGGTGCACTGCCTTCCTCAGAAAGTCTTGCCATGAAAAAAAACGTAAGCTCAACTAGACAGTGTGCTTACTGCCGAAGGTGATATACATTCTGGCACAATCTCCATACGGACAGGTAACAAAGAGCTCACAGAGTGGCCCCACCTGTGGATCAGACTCCGAGAAGCACTGTTCTAGGTGACAGGAGACCTCATCTGCCTGAGACGCACTAGACGGACACTTACGATGGAGTTTTAAGGGTTTTCCGGCCACCTAGTACCCTTAGCCCCTCTTTTGGTAAAGCACTCCAATACTGAGCATCTGCCACACCCTCTCTCAGTCTATGGGACCCAGGTGGGGATCCTGTATGACAGGGGCTGGCCAGTGTTCTGAGTCTCTCCAGCCACAGTGAATGGTTCAGGGAGGCCATGATCCAAGGCTGGCCAATCAGCATAATTTCATCCTCCTGGGTAGCTTCTAGACCTGGGATGGGCAGTGGCCCTGACTGATGCAATCAGACTGAATCCTGGGACTCATGCAGGAGCTACAAGGAAGACAGTCTCTTTCCATTAGACTTAAAGCTGTGAGGAGATGATCCTGGAGTCAACACCCATGAGGGAAGAGCCTGGCTGTGAAATGGGGCAAAGACAAGAGGGCAGAACTGAGAGACAGAAACTGGATTCTGAGTATGCCACTGGAACTTCTGGATCAAACCATGCCTGAAGCGGATCTCTCCCCTATAACTTTTCATTAATGTGAACCAGTAAATTTCCCTTTTGCTTAGGTCAGTTTGTGAGCTTTCCAACACTTGCAACCAAAAGAGTCTGAAGTTATGCATGACTACTGTACCCTGGGCTCATTCTAAAATCCCTATACATTGCTCCTAAAGGGACAAATCTGAAAAGGCAAAAGGTGAGAAGTCAGAGGAGCTGCTACCATGTGGGACTAGAGGCAGTTACCAAGACTTTCCATATCTGAGTCCCTTCCTCTGTCAGGAGATGAACATCTGCCTCACCCATCCCCTGTCAGGTGACTGTGAGAATCACATAAAAAGACACAGAGGAAATCACTCTGAAAACATAGGAAAAAGCACTGTAAAAACAAAAAATATTATTATTATGAGCACACCTTACTTATTCAAACTTTAAAACTCTGGCATCCACAACTACCCAGATCCTATAAAAAATTTTAAAAGGCTTTGAACAACGAGACATTGTTTTTTGTCAAATCCTATACTCTGCTACAGGAGAGGAAGCTCCCCCTGCAGGCGAGAGGGTGTAAGGTGAGGCCGCAGCCTCGCAGGAGCCCGACAGAATCAAGAGGAGGCAGCGGAAGGCCAGCACAGGCCTCCTGTTCTGGGCTGAGCACCAGCGTGCACTGTGGGTCCTCTCTTGGGCCCACCCAGGACATTCCTCCCCATTGCACACATCACCCCATCTACTCGTAGCTTATGAATCATGAAAGAAAAATGATGATTTTATTTAGAAATTACCGCTATCAATTCCCAACCACTATTTTGCAACTTTGGAGCTGTCCTAACAATAACATTATTATCCAATGAGGCAGATTTTGTTTGTTTTTACTGTCTTCATATCTGAGATCCAAGGGACCCATATAACAACAAACTTTACATAAAAAGACTAAATTGTTCGCAAATTTCACATTTTTCCAAAAGTCAGAACACAATCATTTTCTGATAGCTAAAAACAGTTAGCAATTAGGGTACAAAGCGGGAAGAGGCGTCACTGCTGGTCCTGATTTTTAAGCCATGTTCTGAGTCTCTGGTCAATGGTGGTATTAATGGAGTCTCTTTTGATGGTAAAGTAACTAAATTTCTGGAGTTCCATATATAATGTAACTGGGAAAAGTTTGTTCTTCACAGTGCCCTCCTGTGAGGACTGAGCTCCTCAAATGTCACTACTCTCTCTTTCTGCAGCTCCATCTGCGTCTCCATCTTATAAGACCAGCTGGCCCTCTCCTGTTATCTGGCTATCTTCAATTCAGGGAGAGGGGGTAAAGGGCTCCATATGGCCTCGGGTCCAAGACTTGTTCTCCCGCGCAGCTGTACCAGTGGAAAGCCGATGCTTTGTCCCCCGTTGATCCAAGCACAATAAGTTAAGAGGCAGAGGGGAAGAGGAGAGCGTCCTCCCAAGACCTCTAACACTTACCAGTCTGGACAATGCTCTGGAACCAGCATAGATTATACCCACAAACAGCAGCGAAGCAGGAAGCCACGTCAAAACAGCAGATCTGGAAAGAGGGAAAGAGGCCATAACACTTCTGTCACTTTATGTCCAAAAGACCTGGCTGGAAGGTATGATCCTTCCAATGCACCAAACACAGCGATAGCGGCTGTCTAAACATCCCTGAGTGGTCCTTGAAGTGCGACGTGTTCTGTATCCACCCAGAGTGATGGAGGCTGACAAAGCCATCTGACCACAGCCTGTCGTCACTCTGCCAGCCACTCAGCATTACTGACCCCACAACAGGGCAGAGATGAGGGGGCGAGAGAAAAACCCTTCCTGCGGGTTGGGAGAGAGAACAAACTCGATTTTTTTAAGGGGCAGTGAACATTATTCTTCGGATTTTAAGTAACCAGAACCCACGCCAAATTATCAAAGTCTAAAAAGGCTATTTACCAAGGCAATATATCAAACAGTTCCATGAAACCACAACAAAGGGAACCACAGTGTCAAAGGACAGAATTTAAAAATAAAAGAGCGCTAGAACTTCAGCTGGGGGCCGTGTGCTGACTCCAACCACCACCCGGAAGGCAGGTCAGGGAATCTCCAGGGACTTCTGAAGGGTGCACTGCCTTGACTCAATTGTGGCCTTTTCATTACAGTTTAGAATCTTGCTTTCCTCAAGGAATCCCAATTTTTACATGCAGTGCATATCACTAAGGTTGCAACTTGCTTTCCCCATGAGTTACAAATGCAGGGGTCCGCTGAATCCACGCCCCCAGAGTTATTCTAACAATAGAATGAAATGAATGAAACCACTGCAGCAGAACATAACATAATAATCCCAAGTAACTCAGTGAACTGCTCTCCTGGGATGGTGCCTGCTCAAGAAATGATCTCTCTTAATTTTATTAGCACGGGCAGGCATTCGACCTATGATCAGACCTGCTTTTGTACAATTTCCCAGGGAACCTGGCATGAAAATGTTTCCAGTCTCCAGTAAGGCCTTCAAACACCCTACTCCTGTATAAATTCAACCAGCAAATACTTACAGCAACTCGCAAGGTGCTGACAGCACCAGAATTTTTATTAACAGCAGCATCTCAGTTGACATTTGTTGAACACTTGCTACGAACCTCACATTGTGCTAAATGTTTTCTACACTGTATCTCTCTAAAATGTGCACAACAATCTTATGAGGAAAGTATTATTATCCTTATTGTGCATATGAGGAAACTGAGGCGCAAAGAGTTTAAGTAATTTGCCTGTGGTCAGAAGAGCTGGTAATGGCAAAGCCAGAATTTTCATTCAGGTCTGATTCTAACGCCATAGTTTGTTTGTTTTTCAATCTTTTTTTTTCCTTTTTCTTCTGGGAAAGATTCACCCTGAGCTAATATCTGTTGCCAATTTTCCTCTTTTTGTTCCCCCCACCCCAAAGCCCCAGTACATAGTTGTATATTCCAGTTGTAAGTACTTCTAGTTTTTCCACATGAGCTGCTGCCACAGCACAGCTACTGACAGATGAGCGGTGTGGTTCTGTGCCCGGGAATCAAACCCAGGCCACCAAAGCAGAGCACGCCAAACTTTAACCACTAGGCCATCAGGGCTAACCACTCTCTCATGCTTTACCCTCAAGGACCTCATAATCTAATGGGAGACACTGACATACAAATAGATAAGCTGAAACACAACATGATTTTGCTCTGCTGGCAAACCAAGCAGCTAATGATCTGAGGAGTATTCTCTGTTATTACTAGTCCCTCTGCAATAACAGATGTCTGTACTTTCAACCAAAAGGTGAGCAGAAAGAAGATGCCATCCTCCATCCTAACGGGTCAGGTGTAACATCGGCCAATTGCTACTCGTCCAGGAAAAGGCTTTCTATTAGCCTTGAAGGGTCAAGGGAGACAGGATCCAGGCCCATGGCCTGCCGGGCCCCAGAAGGAAGCCCAGAGCCTCCACTGCGGGAGCAGCGAGAGGGAAGGAGGGCGCTGGGTGAAACAGCAACTGGCTGAGCTGCAGCAGACCCTTAGTTCGGAGGGTCAGGCCAGTGAGGCCCCAGACATCTGCGCTCCATTCCCTCCTACACAAAGGGAACGCCTGCCGAGTCATCTACGCCAAGAGACAGCAGGATATCCGAGTGGCCATGGACGTGAAAAAGAAGACATGGCTAGGGAACATCTTGTATTTTAACCCTTCTACCCTAAAATACAAAGAAATAACTTTAACTAGAAAAAATATACACAGATCTATTGGACCAAAGAGACTTCTGGGAAATGTTACAGGGCAGCTGTACAAGCATTTGGTTCCAAACATGGGACAACGACGCCGGCACAGTGGCCCTGGTGCTAGTGTTCTCCACAGTCGTCTCACTCAGCGCCCATCTTCCAGGTGGACGGAGCCAAAGCAACACGCGCTCGTGGCAGACCCAAGGCACCTGCAGAAGCGGCTGGCCTCGAGCCCTGTCTTGGCCCCCAGACCACCCACCGGTGAGACAGCCGCCTCACACCAACATGAAACTACAGCTGCTATTAAGAATAATCAACATGAACCACTGGAAAAACTGCTGTCAAAACAGGTGTGGGCAAGACAAGTGTGAAAGGATGGGGAAAAAGTAAAAATCGAGAAGGCTTCTCCATTCAGACTGTTTCAAAGTATCAAAGTTCTCATTCTATTGAAAATCACAGAGTATATGTTAAGTGTAGTTTATGCAAGAAAAGACTCGACGGAACACTAGTTGACCATCTATAGGCAAAGGAAAAGCCTTACCAAAAGATTAGCAAATGAATGCATATTTATACATCTTAAATTAAAAGATTATTTCATCAAAAGATGATTCCCTGACTTTCAATTAACCCACTCACTAATTATCCGTCTAACAGAGTTAGATAAGGGAACTTCTGCCTGTATTATTAATGGATCCCCCATCCCTCAAATAAACTGTAAGTTTCATAAAGGTGGGAGCCATGTGTATTTTGCTCATATAAATAAATGTAAAATATTAAGTTGGCGTTACAAAGGAGACTAAAGGACTATGCTATATCATAAGGGCATCTGACATAGTCAGTGAGGAACCCTTCCTCAAATAAGTGATGTTTGAGAAAAATTCAAAGTTAAACCAGGTATAGGGGGTGGAGTAGAGAAGTGGAAAGGACACAACGTCCTAGACATAAATACAGCATGTGCAAAGGCCCTGTGGCAGGAGGAAATTGGAAGAAAGCAAGTGTAGCTTTAGTAGATGGAGAGACAAACCCAGGGATAGTGAGGGTGTAATATAATCTGATTTGCATTTTGAAAAGATTGCTCTGGCTACAGAAGAATAGACTGGAATGGGGTTAGGGATGTGCAGGCAGATCTGTGGACACTGCAGTGGTGCATCCAGATGAGAGATTATGGAGATGGAGAGAATCAACAAGACCTGGTGATAATTTCTACTGGGGGGGGGGGGGGTGAGGGATAGAAGACACCAAGGATGACTCCCAGGTTTCCAATTTGAACAGTGAGTTGGATGGTGGTAACCTAAGACACAACCAACCGGAAAAGGTTTGATTGGGAAAATCATGAACTCAGTCTTGAAAATTACGAACTTGAGATGCTTTTGGAACACCCCAACAGAGATGTCAAGTAAGGAACTGGATAAGGTTCCCTGGTGAGCAAAAATGCACAATTAAATAAGTCTTACATTTGATTTTCCTGTATTCCCTCATCTCTCAAAGATATTTTCTTCAACATATTTCCCCCCTTGGTCCATTATTCACAACAATAAGCGTCTCTTAAGGTTTGGTAAGACTTTGTCACAAACTAATTCTTCATTAACTATTTATTCCAAAATTCTGGGCAACACCGAGCTCACAAAACTTGCCGGCTCTGGGAGAGCTGGGCAGAGAAGGGACGGCGGCCGCCCCGGGAGCACCCAGCGGCCTCCCCTCTGGACAGAACCTGCTGCAAGGAGCAGAGGCAGCAGACACAGCACTGACGTCATCTGAGGAACAGCTTACACCTGCTGCTTCGGGAATGCAAATTCGGACCCCTGGTTTGCAGGGTCTCCACGACTGTCAGTGCGCCACCACAGCACGAGGGCTCAGAACGTTCCGCGGCCACCGGGGGCAGAGAGAGTCCACGCCCACTGAGCCTTCCATACTCTTCCAGGCAGTGTGCGGACAAAGTGAGGACAAGAGATACAAGGGCGGTAATTCTTTGCACTTTTGCCATCTATTGAAATATTTTTTAAAAATCCTTTCTTCAGGAAGAAATGAAACTGCAATTAAAAAATCTTACTCTGCTATAGTTGAGGATTATTTTCCAGGGAGATATAGCAATAAGTGGTGGAAATCACACCTGGTTCTGGGCACTGAGAGTGTAATCGTATAACATTCACATGGTTACCCAAATCTTTGGAAATTATAATTAGCTCTCTTCATCCCTAAGGAATGTTCCAGCAGTTAGCTGACTAACTTTAGCCAATAGCTCAAAGGGATGGACAAACTTCATACACTTCCCTGGGCTGTGCCCTTCCTTCTGGGTCAGGTCACCTAGGGCCGTGGTCATCCAGGGTCATCTAGGTCACCTGGGGTGGGGGCAGGGAGGATGCACAAGTACAGAGCCGGGGGTTTGCGCAGTGGAAAGAAGGTGCCTTTGTGGTCAGGCAAACCTGGATTCATACCCTAATTCTAAAGCTGGTTTGCAACGAGAACTCAGTTTTTTCATTTGTAAAATGAGCATACTAATGCACAGAAGGCTACTGAGAAGATGAGCTAAGAGAATGAATATGCAGAACTTGGGCAGTGCATGCGTGACACAAGGACATTCCATAAATGCTCTCCTCCTGGCTTTTCTACACAGAACTCCACGGACAGCAGCCATCAGGGAAGACTGACAGATCCACCTACACAAAATGCACTGGCCAAAAAACACCATACAGAAAATCAAGAGACAATTATCAAACTAGGAAAAAACACGCACAGCCTGGAGTTTAATATCCTTAAAGTATAATGAGTGTTTACAAATCAATAAGAAAAAAATCAACTCCCCCGAACAGTCAGCCAACAAAAACAGGTAATTTTCTCT